TTAAATGTCCAATACTGGTTTTTTGGCCAAAGACAAAAATGCCCAAAAGTCCATTCCCTTTGCAAAAAAATTAGAAGGTGGCGACATTGTCGGCTTGAATACTAAATAAATTCGAATCCATGGAGACGACGGGGAAGATTTGAGAATCTTTTTTTCTTAAACTAACCTCAGTTGTGAAACTTTTTGGCTTTTGTAAAATCTTCGTTTGTTAAAAAATGCGGTAAAACCAATTTCAGGGGCAAAATTTTACAGTTTGTGATTTTTTTATGATTCTAAACTTAACTAATTGGTGAAAACTAAAAAAAATTGGTGATTTTATTTTGATTTTGCCTTTGATCGGACATGGGCCGATCACGCGACGTCTCGTACGCCTCAGGCTCCGCCACACCCTACAGACCAAGAACATATAATAAGTATTGCTACATCTAATGTTTTACCAGAAAGTTCATTAAATGCCCCAAATGTCGATCAATTTTCTCAGCCGCCACTCATAATAGAAACTCTAAACAATGCTAAAGTTTTGCTAGATACAGAAATCGATGTCATCTCTGATGAAAATAGAACACAGGTTCATTCATTCAAATCAGTTATTTCAGACCTGGTGGGATGCACAACTCATTTACATTCCTCTATTCTCACTACTCAAGAACACTATAATAACATTGTTAAGAATTATGCGGTCCTTGAGAGTCAAAACTCGGCACTTGACTCTAAACTTGCCGCGTTAATGGCTGAAGTGCAGCTGCTAAAATCGCAGCCACCAAGTTATGCACCTCCGCCCTCAAGTGAAAAAATCCATGACACTGCGGCGCCAAGCGCTCCCAGGGGTTGGGCCGCGGAGCGGCCAGGGAGCGTAGCCCCCTAATACCTAATATTTCCATGATTTTACTAAATTTAGTATTGATATTTACGGAAAATGAGAAATGTACCGGCAATTGGCACTCGAAAATTAGGATTTGCCGGTAATTGGTAGGTCGTGCACCAGTAATTGGCGAGTCATTTATTTTAAGTTTCAATTTCAATGTGTTTGTATTAACAATTGAATTTACGCGTAGTTGTACATTACACATCGGAATGAAATCAACTTCTGGAGATTGGAAATTGTTTTAATCTTCGGTAAGTGGGGTCCAGTTGAGGACAATTTATCTTAAAAAATCCCCATTTTCCTTGCATAACATTCATTTTCAAGGCATTAGGCTAACTGCAACACACACAACACGGCAAAACTCAGACAAACTCGGCTAATCGGATAATCTTCGGTAAGTGGGGTCCAGTTGAGGACAATTTATCTTAAAAAATCCCCATTTTCCTTGCATAACATTCATTTTCAAGGCATTAGGCTAACTGCAACAAACTCGGACAGGAATGGCACGAGTAAAATGTCGTTCTAAAAATAAAATCTGTCAAGAATCATAACAGACGCGAAAATTGATTCTGGTCCATCGGAAAGTGTCCATGAGGAAGAAGAGAACGCCACATTAAAACGGCATATTTAAAACATCCATGGTCGTCATTTCTGACGTTCCCTACGTAGCATGTTCTAAATAGCAAAGGAATGAAGCTAGAGCCGCACAATAGAGCATCATACTTATTGATCCTCAACTCTGTTCCTATAATGTTTTCCAATGTCCACCCGAATCCATTTAAGTGATCGTCTGCGTTTTCTTTCAGAATACTTTCGAACAATTCAGACGCATTTTTGTTTCTCGAAAAACATGTCCACTATTTTTTGTCTTAAAAATACGAATCTGCGTTACATCGGACTACGTTCTTTGATCCGGGGTTTTAAACAACAGGTAAATAAGTATGCTCACTTATACGCTGTTGAATAGGCGCAAAACATCCCAAATTTTCTTCGAAATTATTGGCGCGACAAATTCCCCCCCTGTAAATGTCCAGGTCCAGCCGAGTCTTATCAAGGTTTCGAACGAAGTATGTTTGAAGTCTGCTCCTAAGCGCTGTTTCCACTTGCTTGATTTGCTCATCCGAAGAAAATACGTTTTGCAAATGCTTTGCAGTCGATGCGTGTCTACTTCCTTCCACGTAGTGCTCATCGCAATACCTACAGTATAACAAACGTTCGTCCAACGAGGATGTAACCGACATGCCAAGATATAATAGCGGAAACCGAAAATTACCACAACCGGTAAAGAATCTCTGGCAAATGTTTTCAGATAGAAGTGAAGGTGAATGTTAAACAATAATTTTTCAGATATCGTAGGGGGAAAAATATTATGGAAAATTATTCAATATACTTACATTTTAATAAAGTAGAGAAAACGAACAGCAATACAACGAGTACGTAGGTTAGCTTCAGCGTGTATGACTCCCTTAAACCAGAATAAGAGTATCAAAGTAAAATTTGTCACGGCCTATGACCAAGAGGAAATTATGTTGTTTTATTTCAGACACAGGAGATCCTGCACATTGTGTGCATTCCTAACGGAGTTTTGCTTTGTGGATCCAACGAATAATAAGAGTGGTATGACCGAAAGGAAATTATGCTGTTTTGTTTCAGACACAGGATATCGTGCACATTGTATTGTTTAGAGTAAAAATAAGAAAAAGAATAATTGTTAAGAATAATTTGCAACCATGTGAAGAGAAGGTGAAACTCCCTGGGATTGTGCTCTGGCTGAAAAATACCTACACGAGTGAAATAAAACAACGTTGAACTAAGTAAGATTAATAAGGATAGATGTATGAAATAAAACCAAAGACATAAAGACGGAGTGCTCGTATCTAAAAGCACGGGGAAAAAGTGAAGCTAGGTTCGGCGCTGCGCGTTTGTGTGAGTGTGTAAATGAGCGCGGGAATCCATGGCGGCAAACGGAAATTTGATTTGAACTTGTCCTCTTGATTTTTCCTTATTTCTTCTTCGAAACGTGTTTTAAATGCTTAAAACGATTATATTAAGAAAGTTCGGTCTGCGTCCTAATATATTACACCTACTTTTGCTCGGTAACAGGCAGTAATCTCAGATAAAGTTGGTTTTTCTTCTGCTCACGGTGGTTCTGCAGGTTCAAACAGGCCGTTACAGTTCTAGATCTACGTTACTCCCAAATGAAATCAGTCGGTCGACGACGGACCGAAACTAACCTAAAGTTAATAAAATATGAGTGTGTACCTGAATTTGGGCAAAAATCAACCTAGAATACTTTGTTTCCGCAATTTTATTTATTAGTTCCCGCCATTTGAATTCAAACTTGTCCCGATTTCGCCGCCAATCCTCTAGCCAATAGTAGAGGTGATTGAAAAGAAGCTCTAGAAGCTTCATTTTTTGCTTTTAGTGCTCCGTCTTTATGTCTTTGAATAAAACCCTTTTATCAGTAAGGAAAGGTATTAATCAGCTGGAGACTCAAAACCGGGAGCTTTCACCTTCTCGACGAGTGGATTGAGACTCATGTCCGGGAGGCGTCCGGGCATGATAGTTTGGTTCGTTGTTAGTCTCTTGCGAAAGAGCACCATGTCCCTTTTTTGGTAATAAATATAATTCGTTTCACGCAATCATGGTTAACATTCTTTTTCGCTAATTACGACACATTGTGTGCTTTTCTGACCCGAGTTTTGCTTTGTGGATGCAACAAATAACGAGGGTGGTCCTGGTACATCAGGCCTTGCCCCAATCAACCTCACGTCTAAATCATCACGTATTTAATTCTAAATTCCCACCTGTGTCCGACCAAGAGACTATTTTACGTGTCAAATGGAGATCCCAGTTGGGACGCTGGCTCTTTCGGAAACGTAATGAGAAACGACTTTCACATCACCCATTATATCTGTGCGCCTACAAAAAATCTTCCGATACAAGAAGACCCGTCTAAATTTATCCCGACCAAATCTAACCGACCCAGGGAAGTAAAGGCCCGATCAAGGGGTGAAAGGGGCCTGCAACGGCGTTATGTGCCAGATGATACGTTCACGAAATTGGACAGGGAAGATATTAACCTAGAAATAGAAGCGGAAGCAGTCAAACAGAAGTACAAAGAACAGAAGGGTGTATCGTCCCAGGTTCCGATACTGAGAATCTTCTCTATGGTCCAGCACCTGGTCCAGATCCCGGTACCTCACGCTCAACACAGGTGCCTGAGCCTTCACCACAGAATATCATGGTCATCGATTTAACGGGAGAAGAGGAAGGAAGCGAAACAAGTTCAGAAAGTACACCACCACCGCCTCCACTTTACGAGCCTTGCCACGAGGCCCTCGAGATGCCGCAGGCTTTAATTTGCCTGCAATTGATCATTGTACCCTACCCGCTCCTGGCGTTCGACCCTTTCCACCCTTCGCCGGCACCGCGCCATGAACATACCCCGCAGCAGTTCCTCGCCCGCTCCTCCACCGAAACCGCAATCCCGCCCCTGGTAAAAATCGGCTATAAGGGCTATAAAGATTTTATATAGCTAGCTATATAACTTATATAGCTAGCTATAAAGTTCTTATAGCCGGCTGTATGAGTTATATAGCCGGCTATATAAGGTTCATAGCCGGCTGTATGAGTTATATAGCCGGCTATATAAGGTTCATAGCCGGCTGTATAAGTTTCATAGCCGGCTGTATGAGCTTTACAGCCGGCTATAAAGCGTCTTATAGCCAGCTATAAAATTCATACAGCTGGTTGTAAATTTCATGAAGCCGGCTATGAAACTTATATAGCTGGCCATGAACCTAATGCGGTTGATAACATATTATCATTTTCCTGTTTTGGGCAAGATTTCAGAACGCCTTCAAATCTGTGGATACGCAAACAACGTTACTTTTAAGTTACTTAAATTGCTTTGAGGCAAATTGAAGGCTTTTTGAAATTTTACTAATTAGAATCTAATCATGATCATTTTTTACCTTAAACGGTACTTTGAAGAGATTTAAATTGCGTTTGAGGAAAACTGAAGGCTTTTTGAAAATTAACTGGTTTGAATATCTATTCATGATCATTTTTCTTTTCGTTTCATTATTTCCCTCTTCATAGACGAAAGTGAACAAATTCAACTATTGTTTAAGGCTACTTAATTCAAATTTTTATTTTTCATTTCTTAAAATCTTATTAATTAGGTACGTAAATATTATCACAAGGTATATCACAGGTTAATTACACAAGTATAAAAATCCTCAAGCTTAAAGGAAAATTTTAAATAAATATCAATTAATTCATACTTTAAAACTAAGTGACACACACAAGTGAGGAAAAACATACCTAAACGCACAAAATAAATAAGGCACACTTTAAACACATTTTGATGTGTAATACAAAATATTAAAAAAAAAATTCATTTACATTTTACATACATTATACTTAAATTTTGACTTCAGACTAGAGACTTTAATTCTAGAGCTATTACTATGGGGCATTCTAGAGCTATTCTTAGTCTTTCTCGTATCGGTTGGGAAAATCGGAGACGTACTTATCTATCTCGTTGAAACAAATGAAGATGGATTTCTTATGAACATCTGATAAATTACAAATTGACAGATCGTCATAAGCATAGGGTTCACACGTTTTTATATGGAATTTTGAACTGAAGGAGTTTCCTGTGGTATCATTTAAATTAATTTCAGTTATTAACATATATACATGATTTACATTGGTAGCAGAAAAGAATATTTTACAAATTTTGGCATAATTATTATTATTTAACTTTATTACAGTATCATTCCTGTATTTCCCTGTTGAGCCAGCTGTGAGGAGAGATCTATGGTACTTAATTTTTTGAATAATGTATAAATTTTCAAGATCTAATTCCTCAAATTTTGCAGAAATTACTTCCCTCTCTTCAGCAGTAGGAATAAACTTTTCTCTCCAACTATCACCAATAATAGTCGCATCATTAAGCGAGGTAGACTTCTTATAATTAGGACAGCCCGATGACAAAACAAATTTACAATATGAGATTACAACGTCACTGAGTGGCGGATGGAGGGAAATAGTTTTGGGAAGTTTGGTAAAAGTAATGAACCTACGAGCTATCTCTTGTGGAATCCCTGTGGTTCCATGTACAAGATTAATGATTACTCCATTGACTGTTTAAAATTGAAAAGTGGTATGAGCCCACAGAGGACCGCCCCATATGACGCAACTTTTAAGGTGGGTGGTTGAATGAACGTTAGAGGTCATATTTACTAAGCCATAATACACCTCATACAGGCGGACAAATTCTTGTAAATACTCATGCACGATGGGTAGGTCATAGCGTGAGATTTCTGCCTGATAAAGAATATACAATGAACAACTTAAAAGGCAAAAGTGCTTGACATATCTATCCGGAATGATGCCTCGCAAAACAACTGGGCCATAATAAAACAACCAATTCCGCCATTCACTTGCCTTCCAATCGGAATGCTGGGTTATTGAACGTGGCTCTCTAGAAATTTCTGATGGTGGGGTCATTTTCATGATCCGCGCATCTAATTCTTGGATCTTCTCAGGGGTTAAGTAAAAGTCTTGATGTTTATATTTTTGGGAGTTCATCCATATTTTTGATATCAGGGTCTTGGAAACTCCCAAAAAATGGGAGTGCATGATATCAATCACCACAGCAAAAGGGAAGGAAAAATATTTCAAAGCTATCAGCGGGGATGCTCCTTTTTGACCATTAACATGAGCTCCCGTTTGCAGTGCAGCCATCATGTCTGCTCTGACACTCTCATTCGTCTTTTCCTCACAATGATCTGCAGTTCCATATCGTACTTGATTCCGGTTAACAAGGTTGCCTGGATGTTTACACAAATAACAACCGTCCTTCCCATTAAACTGAACCATTCGCAAAACTTTTGCTTTTGCAGGAGTGTCTAACGATGTTAATAAAAGATATATTTTGGAGGTGACAAACTCATTCGTCTCAGAATTAAACCAGGTTACACCCTGATGAGCTAGTTTTTTTAATTCTGTAATAAAAGGTGTTAAGTACGCTGTCATCTTTGGCGTTTTGCCATAGACAACTCCTGCAAGAATTACATTATTGACGGAGAATCGTTCGACAGGATCAATTTCATTCAACCGCACTTGAATGGGCCATACAGAATTTTTTGAATTACTTTCAGCGATATTTGCACCATCAGTGTTAAAAGTTAAGGTAAAATCTACATCGGACATAGATTTGGCCTGATGTAGATCTTGGTACAATAAGCCATCCATTACATCACTTATAACATCAGCGTTTTGAGGTCTATTTCTGATAAAATTAATGTACTTTGGCCCATTTTCCTCTAAATGTTTCCTTAACTGACTCTCCAATGAAAGACTTACAAAGTAATTGGTAGAGGGTCCTGTCGTTTTGGGGTTGATGACTGCATGGCAATCAGTACACTCAAGATTTTCGGGTGGATCATTAGCCGAAACGTACAGGGAGCATTTGGGACAGTAGAAGTGGAATGTTCTCTCGGTTTGGGATAAAAAAATTTCTTGGAAAATGTAATGACTGGGAGGAATAACCTCTGTTCCTAAAAGAGTATTTACAAGTTCGATGAGGCCAACAACTCCTCTATTGCTGAGACCAAATCGCAAGTTAAAATGTTGGATGAGCGTCAAAATTTCAAACCTAGTTAAGCGTGCTGTAGGAATCACTACATTATCTAAACCATACTTTTTAGAGTAAGCATTATGTTTTAGAACTTCTTCATCAATTGGTGGGGCTTGGGGTGGTGGGTTTACCTCTAAAATCTCTTCATCTTCTATTAAGAGGTGTTCAAGATTTCCCTCTCCGTCTGAAAGGTCACTAGCATTCATTTCTGAGTCTGAAGAATCAGATACCTGATCATCACTGGAAGAGGGGTTATCAGGATCTGAGGGTGAAGATGGCTGCAATCTCTCATGGTCAGAATCATGTCCAGATGCTGAGTGGCCAGGAGATACACGTGATGGTGACCTGACATTTAATGGTCCAGGTAGCGGGTTGGTGGCAGCCTTTTCCATTCGAAGTAAAGTTCTTCTGGAAGGCACCCCAAAATTATCGGAGGTAGGGTCCAGATAAGTCTTATATCTCTTCGGTCGTCTTTGCGTCTCTTCATCTGACGAGGACATGCTGGTAAAACCACAAGACTGTGCGTGCAAGAGCTGGCTTGGATGCCAAGATGAACTGTAACAGATAAGAGAAGGGTATTTGTTTATTTTTTATCATGGATGCCTCATGACGTTATGAAAAGCACTAAAATATCTCTCTGATGATGAAGAGAGTACCTGGCAGCACTTGAGTCAAAAGACTGGCTTTAGAGGTGTTTTCAGGATTGAGGGTCTGTCAGGGTCTGTCAGGCCCTGAGAAATCATCGGGACAAACTTAGACATACCTGCGTATAAACTTGGTGCGAGTTTGCACTGCGAACTCCCACCTTTGAATCTTTTTTCACCCTTGTCAAAACAACATGCAATACCAAAATTAGTTCTAACGCTCTGAAAAATGTAGCTTCTCTCAGGCTATGATTCAATAGCTGTGAATAAGATTTGAAAAAAATCAAGTTTGCAGCAAGTTTGACCGATGTTCTTTGATTTCAATCTGGGCCCTTTTAAACGCGGGGGGGGAAATTCCCAAATGATACCACTGGTTTGCAGGAAGTTTGCGAATAGGCCGTCTCACAAATGAAACGCAAACTCTTAGGAGCTCACTGCCATAGATCGTATTCAATTTAAACATGCAAAGAAAAGGAGAGATACTACTTACTTGACGAGGGAAACTTTATTGCTGGTGTGACATAAATGTAGACTGAGATGCCGCAATCGTTATACCGGTTACTCGAGTTAGACAAAGGCAATGCCGACAGTCTTCATCGAAGAGAATAGAGATGAACGCATTCACACGGGTTTTAATCCTCGCTGTCCCGAAGGAATTTATGGAAAGAACAATTTGAAGGGGCACTGATGAAACAAAATACGAAATGGAAATAGCTGCGTACAAATGGCGGACGTAAACAAGAACGACTCTCACGACTCTCCAACTCTCCGAGAAGTTGGGTCTGAGCGAGAGGGGATGACAACGTGATACTTCCAAATGAACATGATCAATGAGTAGAGCACCGCTCTGAATTAGATAAAAATTCGCACTTAAACTTCTGGATCTAAATTTTCTGAACATTTCACATTAAAAAAAGAATTTAAAAACCTAGAAATTGTATCGCAGTTAAATAACACACGACAAATATTATAGGTCAAGTCAACAACTCGATCGGTGTATTTTTCTTTAGGTTGGTTATATGTGAACTTCATTCGATTCTCTTCTGTCATTGGTCAGAGCAGAACCCACGAGCGGCAGCGGCCAACGGCCAACTCTGTCCAACTTGTAGATCGTGCGTGGTGCGTGTTCGAAGTTCGATTGTTCGTGTCGAGAGAGAATTGTGGTTAGTTATTTTATTGGTTTTAAAATTGCAGAGTTGTAATAAGTTAAATGTGCGTACTGAAAGAACCGAAAGTATGTTTGCAAAGGTAGTGTTCAAAGACAACGAGGAGGCGGTGGTCCCGGTGGACTACATTAAAGACTTCGATGCGCAGAAAGTGGTGCCGGGTGATGAATGTCCGGTTTTTTGGAGCCTAAAAGGCAAGCTCACGCCGAAAGATGTATTGAAAAAACAAGGTGTCATTCATCGGATTGATCAGTTGAAGAAACAGACCGATAAGCACGGGAATCCTCTGCCGGGATATTATGATGCAGAAATAAAAATGCTCGCTGGTAAGCTTCATTTGCTGTACTATTTCTAGTAAGCCTATTTTTCATGTCATGTTCATTTCTCACCGTTACATCATGCAGAGCTAGTACAAAAGATGTTGGTGAGTTTGCTATCCTGATTTTGTCTTAATGCAGATAACGGACATTTCCTTGACTCCCTTCAGCTTATGAGAAAGGATCTTCAGGAAGGCCGAGTAGATACTACTAGGCTCCGCTCAGCACTGAAAATGTATAGGATTTGTAATACCCGCTGTAATGCTGAGACGTAATTTCTTTGCTTGTCAACCCCTTCTATTAAAGTATGTGCTGGATCAGAAGGTACTTATTTATTTCCTTTTACAAGTGACTGATGAAGTTTCAAATCAGCAGATTGAGGATTTTCCGATGGTAACAATACTTGGAGATAGGCTTTTTTGTCCCTGCAGTAACAACCTAGTGAATGTTATAGAGTGAAGCTGAAGTTTAGTTTGAATGTCAGTGTTGCTTTTCCCATGATGACGATTGATGAGCATCAATGTTGATCCTAAAACTGGAGAACCCTGCCCCTACAAATGACCTAACATTTGAATAAGACAGTGAGAACGTTACGAGGCAAATATTTGGTAACCTGTGTCGGGTTTGCTAACCCACCTACAAGTTCTCGGATGTTAGTTTTAATCAGGTAAATCTGACAGTTGACTAGTGAATGCAACTTGGACGCCTCATGGAGAGTAATGTGGGATTTTTTAAATATATTTGCTTAAACAGTGTTGCATGAGTACAGATGCTTCAATAAGACTAGTGTAAGTGACAGTGCCAGGAAATTCTAAGTATAGGACTATCAATGCAACTCATTAGAAATTTGACCACAATTTCCTCCTCCACATCACCATTTATCCTCTAATACGCTCGACTGTACTTTCAGATTCAATAGATGAGCTCAGTAAACAGCCGACCCGAGTGAAAAAAGCTTCGGCAAAAGCTGCCCAGCTGATGAAAGATAAGGAGGAGAAGGAGAAGATAAAGCACAAGCCCAAGAAGACAGGTGAGAGTAGCAAGGTAATTAATCGCTGTATAATTTTTTCAGTTCCTATCCTTTGATCCTACACGTTCAACTGAATTATTTTTGCTTCTTATATTCTGATAGGGGAGTGGTGCATTTTAAATCTCCTGTTTTTTGTTTACCTAACTCTTTGTATCACATTCAAAATTTTCAATTTTTACATGTTCAAAATTTTGTTTATCAATTTTTATCTGCACACACTAACTCAAGACTGCAAATGTAATTTGTGAGTAGAAAAAGGTTTATGAGAAATTTATTGACAAAGCCTGTGACCAAGGAGTTGCCTCTCATTGAGTATTTGCCTGACATTTTTATCTTAATCCCATGCATTTAGGCGTTGTATAATATTTGTAACATTTTCGGCTACAGTAATGGAGGCATTCATGGGGATATAAATAAGATCAAATCCTGAATTGAATATGGTGAGAAAAGAGTTTTATCTTCCATTCCCGTGATCTACTATTTAAAGATGAATTAATTTTTTCCTCTCCTCTTTGATAAGACCTCCTTCAATTCTACAAAATATCCCATTTCGTATTTTCGTGTGCTATCTTAATCGTCTCAATGCTTTATTTTTAATTTCTTTGTTTTTGTTTTGTATCACCAGCAGTCTAAATTCAAGAAACCAGAAGAAAATCCCAAGAACATTGATCAACTCCTTTCGGATTCGTCGGAAGATGTTGTCGAGCCAGTAGCGGGGTACAAGAAGAGAATTGAAAGTCTGGAAAGAGAATTGAAAAGTTTGAGGAAACGGAAGGAAAACATCGAAGAGGAAAGAGATGTGCTCAGAAATGAAGTGGAACAGCTGAAGGAAAAGATGGACAAAGTTAGAGGGGAGAATGAAGATCTGCGGCAACTGAACTTAGAGCTGCAGAAGAGGGTATTGTTGAAAGGAAGTGATACATCCCCTGGATTCTCTAGATATCAAAAAAGTCCTGGATCCATCAAAAAGGTACCCATCTGTCCATACACTCCTGCTGCTTGAATTCTAATTCTTTACAGTCTCTTCTTTACTATAGAGGCAAGATAGGTAGTTAGTGTTTCCTGTGAAGTTATGTTCTGGAACTATTTTATTATCTCAGGTAACTGCGAGGAATTGATTCAAACTGTAATATGACATTCTTATAAGTACTTCGTTTCCTCCTGTTAAGCCAAGTTTACAAAAAATGTTAATGAAAATAAGGCTAAAAAACAAAAAATGTTAATGATTCATAAGGCTAAAAAACAAAAAATGTTGATGAAAATAAGGCTAAAAAACAAAAAAAGTACACTTAAATTACGAATAAAATCGTTAAAAATTTTAAAAAATTCAAACTTTCCTTGCTTAATTACTTGCCCGTACGACGTTTCGAAGGGTCCACTGCCCTCCCTCTTCAGCGGCAAAAGTGTGACTAATGCGACTAGAGTCGCACTATTGCTGCCAAAGAGGGAGGGCAGCAGACTCTCCAAAACGTCATCCAGACAAATAATTAAGAAAGGAATGTTTGAATTTTTTAAAAAAATTTAAAACTCTCATTTTCTTATACTTTTTACTGAGCTATGGTATGTTTACTATTGATTTCAGAGATTATTTGATCATGCCTCACCAGCGCCCTCAATTTCCGGCAATTTGTGGGAGGAACGAGAAACAGATACTGCCACTCCAACAAAGAAGATGAAAGTGAGTGTAACTTTCAATCACCCTTAGATAACTTGTTACCAATAGTAGGAGAGTGTATGAGGACCAAACCACATTTCTGAGAACCGGGGTGGGTGGCATGGAGACATCCGAAAGATCGGAAATTTTCCCACAATTTGACAAAGCTGTGAACTTAAAGAGATATGAAATATTCATTTCAGGGGCAGGATATGCAACCTACTCTAATGAGAGAAAATGGCAAACTAAAAAAAAAATTAGTCAAACTTGGTATTTTTTTTTCCTTGTATTGGATGCATGACTGATAAAGAAGAGTAAAACAATGCCTCCAAAGAATTTTGGAAGTGTTAAGCTTATCACTCAAGAGTGAGCTGATAAACCACAACTTGAAATGTGTCTCTCATACATCTCTGAAATTTCATGTTAAATTTGAGCATTTTACTTTTCATGAAAAATTGCCACACTGCTAAGGACTAACTGAGGTGTTGGATTATTTTTCTAATTTATAACATTTGATTTCAGGTTTCGGACAGAAATGAAAAAATGAAGAAGACACCTTCACCTCTCAAAGCACGATCTCAGTCAGTGCCAGGAAGAAGTACAACAGTGAGTAATATTTTTATTTTAGATGTTATTTGCTTTGAAATATCTTGATGATACTGAGTAACCACTTAACCATTCCCAAGACTAATGAAGTTTTAAATTGTCTCTCTGATGTGAAATATTTTCATTACAGGACCTGTCTCATGTCGGAAAAGTAACACCCCGACGCTCTAAGTCAGTCGATGACAAGCATCATGCCGCCACGATGAGCTCAAAAGACGCCACTCCTCCTTCCCTAACCGGTGAAGAGCAGATGTCCACTCCACCGTCTGCGATGAAACGCTCTCAAAGCCCCTCCACCTCACCATCAAGACAATCTCCAAGGGTGAGTTAAATTTTCGTGAAGAAGATCCTATCCCTTTTAAATGCCATTTATTTCTTTGAAAGCCACGCAGGGTTCAGTCACGAATGCTTCCCTGGTTCAAGTACAAGAAAAAATGAAACCCATCAGTTTTGTGAAGTATTTGTCTGTTTTACTTCAGGCTTTACCTTAACTTTATAGCCAAGAAATTAACTTAATCAGCATTGGCCATCAACAGAGAAGAGGAAAGCTTGCTCTTAGAAAAGATGCAGATAAAAAAAAATCAGTGAAAATTTCAGGGGAATGCATGTGGCGGTTCTCCTATAAATGTCCTAATGTCAGTAAAATATTAAAACAGCACAATCAAGACGCATTTCTCTATGCAAGAAACAGCAAATTTACGTATCGTATGGAATAGAATTACTAATAGAAGAGCAGAGAATTTTCGTAAGAGTGCGGTCTCGATAATGCATTTTTCTTAGATTTTGAATGGGCCGCAGAAGTGTCCTGAGAATGTATTCTCTTCACCAGTTGCAGTGAAGAAATTTTTTGGTCAAAAAGAGGAGATGAATTAATTGAGCTAGAGGTAACCTTTTCTGCAGTATAGTCATTTAATATGAATGTATTCAAAATTAATGAAATAATTATTAATTTTTTTACTCATTCTCTATTGTTCTAGCATGCAATTTCTCTGGATGCCGCAACCATGAGAATGTGTTTGCATGGAGTCAGAGATGGTGCAGGCGGAGATGCTATGTACGCAAAGAACCTGGCCCTAGCGCTATACGGCGAGGAAGAGCTGATGCATTCATCAGTAACAGGAACAGCATCCAAAAGGTTTAAAACGGAAGCAAAACCAAAACTAGAAAGGAGAAAATGGGAGCTTCTGAAAAGTAAGTAGCCCTACCTTCAATTGATCTTACAATTGTTAATTAGTTTTGTTTATTCATAACGTACAAACTCATTCCCACTGCACGTCAAGCTGTGTGAATGTGACTTAAGCTTTTTGAAAGAAAACATTCTTAAGCTTCCTCTACTGATACGTCAATGGTCTCAGACAGAGGCTGCATTACTCTCTTAAACTCTGCAACTCAATTAAAGATAATATGTTGAAGGAAGAACCCTATTTACCTGATGTCCCCATTTTTCGAAGTGACTGCTAATATTAACATTTCTTCATGCAAGGCTCTCCAGTCATCAGTGTGTAATCTTTATAAAATGAGTTTTGTGTCTTTAAAGGAGGAACACCACTCACGTAATTCAAAGAAATGAAGAGATGATTAACTCTCACTTGCCCATTGTATATTCAGAAAAATCAAGGTGTTTTTTTTCATGCTGAATCTGGGTTATCCAAGTCAACATTTAAACTAGTGCCCTTGACCGGTGTTGTTGCTCATTTGTCTTGAAAATTTTTGATGTGTTTTTCTGGTAAATAAAATGGTCTCGCTCTTGCTCACGTCAGTACATGAAGCCGCCATTGGAAGTAACTTTGTAAAATAAAAGCTTTCATAAGGTTTATTTTAAAGAATCAGGTAGCTGAAATATGTGGAATTTTTCTCCTAGCGTGTTTTGAAGGAAACCCCATAAATTACTTTGCATTTAAACTTGGATATTGCATTTTGCATCGGTTTTTTTTTCGTCAAACTTTTGTTTTTCAAACAAAAATTTTCCTCTCTCTGTTTGTAGGTCTCTATGAAAAAAGGGTGAAAAGCTCTATAATAGACGGAGATCCAGATGAAAAGGTGCGAATCAACAGGCTAAACACGTATATTGCGGACAAAATCCAAAAGTTGTCCCAGAGAGCCAAAAGGAAATCATAAATTTGTCAACTGTCTGTAAATAGTCTTCTATCTTATTAATTTCAATGTTTTGTTTTTTGTGTAAATATATTGATTCTTTAAATTTAATTTTGACTGAATCACTTTCATCTTAAAAATCATATTTTATGGAATTTTCTATCTGTAAAAATAAAATTCCATCGTAGAAGAAGAGAACTACAGGTATGAATTCAACATTAATTTGAATGTAGGAATGAATATATATTTTGAGTATGAAACATTTATTTGTCAAATGATTTGACAAAACTAATTTTTATGGGTTTGAATCAAGCTGTGTTGATTTCTTATGACTGGCTGTATGAATTGGATTGCATTTTGCAAAAAGGAACCACTAGCATTGCAATGATGCTAAGATAGTGCAACTTCATCCTTTGCAATTAAATTACGGAAATCGTGAAAAACTATGAAATTTAGATGGTAACTTTTGTCTTAAATTTACAGTTTTTAGCGAGTAAAATAGAAACTATTAATGGATAATCAGGTTTTTCCTCCAAGACAAAAGAAGTTGCACAATCTTAGCAACATTGCAATGCTAGTGGTTCCTTTTGGCAAAATGCAATCCAATTCTTATAGCTGGCTATTTGAGTTCTTATAGCCGGCCATATGAATTCATATGGCCGGCTATAAGAACTCATATGGCTGGCCATATAAATTCATATGGCCGGCTATATGAATTCATATGGCCGGCTATAAGAACTCATATAGCCGGCCATAAAACTCATATGGCTGGCCATATAAATTCATATAGCCGGCTATAAGAAATTATATAGCTAGCTATAAGCCAAAATACCGTATAACCCATATAGCCTTATAGCCGATTTTTACCAGGGGCTGCCCTACACGCCCGAGCAGCTCGGCCGGGTCGTCGATGCGCTAAACCCGAGCAGCTCGGCCGGGTCGTCGATGCGCTAAGCCCGAGCAGCTCGGCCGAGTCGTCGATGCGCTAAGCCCGAGCAGCTCGGCCGGGTCCTCGATGTGCTAAGCCCGAGCCTTCGTCACGACCCCACTGCCACGCTCGGGCTAGGGGACACAAGCTCTGCGTGGTACCCCGACAGGCGATTCCTGATGCCTTTACGAGTTATATGTTAAATACCCAATTCCGGGCATGTTTGAGGAGGGGCTGCTGGTTGAGCATAACGCCCAGTATAGCTTTCAATCTCAGTAGAGGAGATTTTATGATGATGGTTCTTATCAGTGAAGGTCAGATTGAATATCCACTCAATCATATATATTGACATATCTGTAATTAAAAGCAGCCTTGGGAAGTTTTATAATTAAACTAATGTGGGTGACAAATTCGATGCCCGTTACCGCACAACTCGAACGGGGGCTCAGCGGTGAATAAACAAATGGGACACTTCATAACCGCTCTCCATCGTTTCAAAATTCGCGTTCGATAGGATCGTGGTCGCTGCATACTGAAACAGTACCTGAAGAGAACGAGGGTTAGATTAGGATAAACTTTTAGTAAAAATTTGGGGGGAAGGAGTGGAGGATGGGAGAAGGGGCTTTTGATTTTATTCCCTTTTTTCCCGTTTTATATAATAAAAAAATAAAAAATTTATAATGACCATGTGATTTCTGTAGTACAGATCATCAAATGCCAGAGTAGCAGTTAATGCAAAATTTGAATGTCTGTCCAGACCTCGGTACTTAGCATTAGGATCGTCTTCTTTTTTGCCGAAGGGAGTTGAAGCCTCAGTCTTATCAGGACCAGATTTGGGAAGTTCATTTTCGGAGGGGTTGGGGACGGGGGATTGTTGTCTTGACGGGGCAGGTAGAGGGAAGCCATCCTTAAAAGGGGTCGGGAGGGAGCGTTCATCCTTTGAGGGGGTCGGGAGGGAGAGTTCAGCCTTTGAGGGGGTCGGGAGGGACAGGAAACCGTTCTTCTCCATTCTAGAAAGTCAATGTTAAGGGGACATTATTGGCAACGGGTACAATTTGATTACAGGCCTCCTGAGCATTCCCGTGGCAGTAATTACTTCAGCCACCCTTACATGCCCATCAGAATCTGGGAAAATTTTGGCGATTCGCCCTCTTTCCCATGTGAGCGGGGGTGCCTGCGCATCGTGAATCAAAACTAACGTTCCTTCCTTTATGCTCTTGGTGACTTCTAACCACTTGGACCTCTCTTGCAACGTGTGGAGATATTCAAAATGCATTCTTTCCCAAAAAGCCTGTGCAAAGAACTCAACGTACTATCGCCGAATTTAGTTTCACGCAGAGTCTCTGGTGACTATTTAGCGACGGCGCGGCGCGGCGCGGCGCGTTGCCTGATAACGCTCTCATGAAGACGCACTGGTTCCTTTGTGAGCGCGTAGTCACTAACACAGACGCACATGAAACACACACAGACATTTTCACTCATTCACCGTGAGAATTCACGTTTTTGGCTCTTTGGAATGTAAACAAAGATTCGTAATGACGTATCGCGCATCGATTCCCATTCTCACTTGCCTCTTGTTCTTGTGACTAGAGCAAGGAAGAAAGGACCTCATTCCAAATTGTCCGTTTCAACCTTGGCCTGATCTTCGAAATATTTTCAAAGTTGAGAGAGGATCTCCTCCCGAGTCTAAAACACTGACGCATTTTGAAATCGGACGATCACGGAGGGAGGGGGAGGGGAGTCGAAGTAAAAAAATTAAACTCGCAATATCTC